CTTTATCTAACTGAGGGAAACAATGTGAGATAATAGTTAGGTTGCCTGAAGCATATAGCAAATGTTCCTTAGGAGCTCGTGTTCATGCGCAGATCCTACCTACTTTACAGGTGTCACACCTTAAAAGGGAAGCCACTATATTTTAATGCAGTCTGATTTTAGTGTGCTTTAGAAACAATTGGCATAGAATTGAGGATTTGGAACTGTTTTTGGTTGTGAAAGCAATTTCTGTTCATAGCAGTGTTTACTGTGTTGAAATTTAAAATGTAGTTTGTTTATTAATTCTTTATCATTGAAAATTGGTTTAAATTAGTTTTGTGTGTGTGGTCCTGTTTTCTGAACCCAAGGCCTTGCACATGCTACACAAGTGCTTTACCACTGACCACACCCCCAGTTCCAAATTATCTTGAAAGTGCACTGAATTGTGCATTTATTATGCTTAATAGACTTTTTCTACTCTATTGTCTTAAGTATATTTGTGATCATGGATAATGTGAAAAGAACATATTGGCATTGATTTCCTTATTTATAAAGGCTACTGTAGACCTGATTATGAAAATATCTAATATTGGTCTAAATATGATTCATTTAGAGTGATTGATATCTGTGAGATTTGTTGCTGAAAGGAAATGCAGTATGTAGAATAATTAATCGAATAATTGGTTGAAATCAAGTAATTGAGATGAATAATCACAATTACTCATTATCTCAGAAACCTCAACAAACTGTCTCAAAACATATTTACATATGACTTAATAACCTTTGGTTATTATCTTAATTTATTTATTATATTATTATTTAGATAATATCTGACTTTGTTAATTATGATTTTTTATGTTCAAAACTTATAAAGTAGAATTCTGATAATCCTAAACTATCTTGGCAATCTGGTCTGATTTTGAAAGGCTGGGTGGATTTATTTCCTGCCCTGGTTAACTTTATTTAGCCAGAGCTGTGGGATAGGGTAGAGAAATTATTGCTAATCTCACTTCACCTTCAGAACAGGTCAGAACTCCTCCAGAGGAAACATTGCTATGGCCATGTAGGGTTAGGTAAATATGCTGTGCAAAAAATAAAGCAAGATTATGTCAATGAGACCCCAGGATGCTTCTGTCCTAGCGCCAGAAGACTTTCTGGTGGTAATCTTCCAACTCTCTGCTTCTTCTCAGAATTCTATCTGTTATAGTCTGAAGAAATAATTCTACTTATCTAGCTGTAGACTATTTCATTATAAAACATTATAAATAGAATGTATGTGATATCCATTTTAAAGTATTTCCAGTTACATCTTTGTGGGTTACATTATTTGAGGAATGTCCAAGTAAAGACAAAATTGGGATTAGAACGTCAATTATTAAATAAAAAGTGAGTAAATAAATAAATGAATGTTTGCAGAGTTGGTTCTACCAGTGAATGTTTTCTTTTATTTGTGGAGTTTGTGTTGGTCTGGAGAGTGGATTTTGTTCCCAGAAAGACCCTGAGGAAATCTCTTTTAGCTTTTGTAGCTGTCTTTTGGAGGGTAGTTCTGAAAGTTTGCATCTCGTGCAATTGATGGAGTTTTAGTTAGAGAAAAATATGTGGTCCTCCTTTTCTGAATCCTTGGCTGTTTTTAACCTTCTACATTATACTTATGTTCTTGAAAGTTCCTTTTCAAGTGAATCCTTAATACATTTCTCCTGCCCTGTTTTCATACATTTCTCACATCCAATTGTTTGAGTGCCTGGCTCTGGCTGGGGTGCACATGACTGACTTAAGTTAAATGCTTGGAAGAGCATTGCTTTGTGCTTCTAGGTAGATTACATTCTCATACATTTCAGTAACCATTTAATGCTATTTAACCTTCAAAAGGGCTTACAGGTGACAGAGGTAATCATCAGCAAAACCAAGTCTCCCAGCTCTGCAGTAAGAGTAAAACTGTCGTGGAACTTCACATCATCATTTGATGCTACATCAGGGTGCTGTGCCAACATTTGGATTTTAAAGTAGTGAGTGCATCTATGGAGGAGAGTGATCATTTGAGTCTTAAGTTTCCCATGAAAACTTTGCTGTACAACCTTATACATAATTTTAGGTGTCCCAGATTAAAGTTTGTAAAACAAAGCATTGAACAAAACAATCACTACATTCTGATTCTTTGTGTTCTCCTGGCTGCTTTGCCCCTCACTCAAGATGAACTCATACATTTGCACATTTACCCATGTCTTACCTACTATTCTATTTTACATTAGTTTCATTCCATGTAACAGACTGCAAAGGATACACAAGAAATAGTAAGATGATCTTTCTTTTTTAGGAGTTCTTAGTGTATCTGGCCAAGTAAATATGCCACCAAATGTTAAATAAAACAAAATAATGTATGCTGATTTCCTTTTCTTTGATCATTTTCTGGTTGTTGATTTTCTTCCTAACTGTTGATGATGTGCATATGTGGAAGGGTTTTCCACATATTGGAAGTTGCATTCCAGCCTGGACCTGGGATCACTGGTAGTGCTCTTAAGGAGAGCCTCCCAGAAGAACTTAGCATCATGGCTGGGCCAGTTCCGCAGTGCTGCTGTTTTATTCCATTCATCATTGTTCTGGGGTTGAAAACACATCACCTGATATGATGTAAGGAGGCAAATATGCTTCCTGCTCATAGTATCCAAACTTCCTGATGCTGGAGAATACTTTTGTGAAGCTTATAAAACTACTTATGCGTGTTAATGCACTTCAGTCTTTCTGCTTTCTCTTGAATATGGAACAAGCAAGCAAATGGGGCCAGCAGCATCAGGATGTGAGGGTTGAAGCTGCCTTGTGATTTTAGGTGTGGTCCTCTGAATACCATGTTTAGGAACTGCTACAGGAAATTCAAGGCCAGGTTCTCCTTGGCAATAGAGAGCAAATGGAGAGCAAATTGTATCACTGAGTTTCTTGAGAAAAATGACAATCATAAAAATGTATGGAGTAACAAATATTGTCTTCTAACCACACACACACACATACACACACACACACATCTTTTGAGATGTCTTAAAATGCATTTTAGGACACACAAAAAATGTAATAGTTTCATCCGAGAAACCATGTTGTCCAGGGTATTATACCAAAGAACTTTTTTTTGTGTGTGGTCCTGGGGATGGACACAGGGCTGTGCACATGCTAGGCACAAGTTCTGTCACTGATATACATTCCCAGCCCCCAAAGAACCTTTCAACAGAACTTTTTCTTTTCTTTCATTTTCTTTTTTTTTTCATTTCTTCCCACTGAGAATGTAAGCATCTCAAACTAAGATAGTGATGAAATTGTCATTTTCCATGCATAATTTGAGAACCTTGAGTTAGTAAGTTAGGACTGCAGACTTAGGATTGTGGCATATGTATTTTTAGGGGGACACAAACATTCAGACAAGAAGCAAAAACTGAAAATGAGAAGAGCAGTAAAATTATGGTTTTTAAGAGTTTGCTCTTCTTTTGCTAATTCAGATTAATTGCCTATTTCTCTCTGCTAGGTTTCTTTTTAACATTAAGTTATTTCCGTGGAAACCAGCAACACACCTCATGGCCCCTCAGGTTTCTGGTTTTTTGTTTGTGTTTATTGATTGTTAGTGGCTGTCACACCGGAGTGTGTCACAACGAGGCTGCTTCTATTTAATTCAGGAAAATTAATATGCATATTTACAATGATAGGCTTTTGTTAGTAGTAAAAAAGATAGATTAGATCTTCTACATTTTAAATTTTAAATTAGTGGAATTTGCCAAGTGTGCTGTTGCACATCTGTAATCCCAGCAATTTGGAAGACCTAGGCAGGAGGATTGCAAGTTTGAGGCCATTTTGGGCAATTTAGTGACCCTGTCTCAAAAAGACAAAAGGGAACGAAACAAAACAAAAAATAGCTCTGGGGTTTAACTCAGTGGCAGAGAACTGGCCTAGTATGCGTGAACTTTGGGTTCAATACTCAGAGCGTGCCCCCCGCCAATTAACATTTATCTAATTATAACAGTTTATAATTTATCTGCTTACAAAAAGAAACCCTGTTGTTTTGGGGTTTTTTTTGGTTGAAACTCAGAAGTATAAAGAAGAAAACAAAAACTGTAATCCTGTTATAGAGATTTTGATTTTGGATTTCTTTTGTCTTTTTCGTAGTCTTTTAATGTGCATGCTCAGTTATATACAAATATGTAACTTAAATATTTATTTTAAAAACTAAGTTATAATGTATAATTGTGCACTTCTTTTTAAACTTATTATATTATCATTAATGTATTATTACATTTTTTACTTTAAAACTATTAATGTGCTTAACATTTTTAAAAATTAATTTTGTTATTTTGACAATAGTTTCACAGATTTTGATATAAATTGCCAAATACTTTCCTAAAGTCTTAATCAGATTTTGTTACTTACAATAATTCTCATTTTATCTTCCACTCAAAATTTATTTTATTAAAATGAACCTGCCTAGCATGCGATAATTGAACAAAATATTATTTTACTGGTTTTTCTTTCTTAATGAAGACAAACATATATGAAGTGTTCTTTGTAATTTTAGAATAAAAATTGTAAGATTGAAAGAATGAAAAGTATTAGTAAGTTTGTCAAAGGTAAAAAGCATTTAAAATTATATAATATCTTAATGACCTATGTAAAACTTCATATTTTCAGGAAAATTTTGCCCATGTGTAAAGGGAAGAAGAGATATGTTTAACTACTAACCAAAATTCAAAGATTTAACAGTTATGTAGTCTAAAATAGTGAAATCTAAATAACAGATACATGAAATTAGGATTATAATAAGTTCAGTTTTTAGATATAACGAGTAAAGTATTGAAGATTCAAGACTATTATTTTCAATATGAGAGTTGTAGAAACACATGAAATTGTTATGTAAGGTAAACTGAATTATTTTGCTTGAAAGCAACTCATCTGCAAACATAAAAATCAAAGCTCTATATAAAACTTCCCAGCAATGTTGACACTAAGGTCTAACGTTTGCATTCTCTCTTTGCTTTTTTTCTCCTTAGGACATCCAGGCGGAAATTGATGCCCATAACGACATATTTAAAAGCATTGATGGAAACAGGCAGAAGATGGTAAAAGCTTTGGGAAACTCTGAGGAGGCTACTATGCTTCAGCATCGACTGGATGATATGAACCAAAGATGGAATGACTTGAAAGCAAAATCTGCTAGCATAAGGTCAGAATAGTTGCTATCAAAAGAAAAATATTGGCAGGGGTTGATTTTTGTATATCAGAAAAAGAAAGGGCAATCCACCACCCAGGCTACCCTCTAGAAAGAGTTCAAGATTAAATGCGAAGATTGTTTTCTTTATTATAGTTTTAACCTCATTTATGTTCAATGCCTTCTACTCGTTGTTCCTCACTGTTCTCAAATGTGCACATTATATTTTAAACCTCATAACAGCAATACCAAGATAGTTACCAGTACCTGTTAATTACTGTTTGACTTTACTCTTTACCAAGTACTATGTTAGGATATTTTTGTTTTTGTTGGTGGTACTGGGGATTGAACCCAGTGTGCTCTACCACTGAGCTACATCCTAGTCCGTTTTAATTTTATTTTGAGACAGGGTCTCACTAAATTGCCCAGGCTGGCCTTGATCTTGGAATTCGCCTAGCTCAGCCTCCTAAGGAGCTGGGATTACAAGTGTGCACCACCTTTAAGGATCTTTACACACATTACTTCATTGGATATAGTCATACAACCAATAGCAAAGTTTTCCATCAAGGACTAACTGTATATATGACGGGTGATCCCCACATTAGATTGCTTAGTGATGTTGTGGCCATCTCAGTTTCTGTTTTCGTCCACTCTGATGTTCACACAATGATAGAATTGCCTAATGGCATGTGTCTCAGAATGTGTGCCTGTTCGTGATGCATGACCGTGCTTGACAAATCCTAGTAAAGTGGATGATAAAAATCCTTTCTTGCATGAGGAAATGAGATTTAATTAATATGAGGAAATTTCCAAGTTTTTGTGCCAAGCCAGTATTCGAATCTTGATCTTTTTGACTCTTGGTATTAAACAAATTTTGCTTCACCATGTTGTTTTTGCATCATATTTGAAGCTGTATTTATATAGATTACATATCTCATTTAGACACTAAAATGGAAAACTGATGATTCATGTCCATTTGGAGAGAATTAAATTAAATAAGTATGAACCTTAGGATCAGAATTCTGGCCAGGAAGAAGCCTTGAGAAATCACTTGGAGTGACAAAATGAGTGTTATTAGGGGTAAGGAATATTTTAAGGTCATATTTACTAGATGATAGATAGTTCCCAACTGGGTATAAGTTTAGGGGACACTGGCTGAAGAATGGATTATCAAGCAAAAATTCCAAAGAAGAATATTTGTAGGAATTCCTAGATCACTTTCTTTTGTTATATCATGTGTTGAAACATGGACAGCTTTAAAACAAAAGGATCTTGAACTTGATTTTTTTTTTTTCCTAATACAGGGGAGTAAACCCAGGAATGCTCTGTCACTGAGCTACATTCCCAGTCATTTTTATTTTTTTAATTTTGAGACAGGGTCTCTTAAGTTGCTGATACTGGCCTCAAACTTGTGATCCTCCTGCCTCAGTCTCCTGAATAGCTGGGATTACAGGCATGTGCCATCACACCAGCCTTTAACTTGCCTCTGATTTATTCTCTTGATCTTGGGCAAATTTATCCCTCTGAAATTTACAAACTTAGAATATAAATATTTAACCCACAATATTGTTGCAAAGATTGAATGAGAAAACGATTGTTTCTTAATCTAGTTATGGCCTGCTCAATGTAGGATTTATTTTTTCATACACAAGGTTGGCTCAGTGGGTCTGTTTCCGGTGGTTTTAGGATTTCATGTAATGATTTCACAGAGAATAGAAATCTTCACTGATTACTAATTGTGAATGATTTTCTTAAAAACTTCTTTCTGAGAAGATGCTCTGTAATGTGTTCATTCTACTGGGCTCATTGTGAGGAATTTGCATTTCTTCTTTTTCTGAAGGAAAGGGGGTCATGGTAAGGACTTCCTTGTCTGAAGATCCCATTGAAAATTAGCAGCATCAGCCAACTATATATATATTTTTTTTTAAATAGGAGAAAAGTCGGGGAGTGCTGTACACTGAGAAACTGAACTTGAATAAGGCTTGAATTTTCAACTGACTAGATCCCATTTGGTTGTAATTTTCTGTTCCTCATAAATATAAACAAATAAAAATATTAAAAGTGAAAGCATTCACTGAGGATCTAGCAAAAGCAACATCTAAGCTAAAGAACTGAAAGCCATAGAGCTTGCTTTGGTGAAGATTGTACACAAGTGCTGGAATTTTGAGAGCTTAAAGGATGAGTTCTTGAGTTAGAAGGATTGAATGGCAGCCTACATCATGAACAGATCATTCCAAGTGGAAAGCTTTGGTCCCAGAAATTGTGGGTCTTTCTTGGGAGCTCTTGCCTATCAAGTCACATTTTTTTCTAATCAGAAAAGAAGAGCTCATAAGCTACACTTGGAATATTAACAAATAAGCAAAGCAGTTATTTTTAGATAATGGAGACTATTATATGCTTGTTTTGGTGGACTTATGCATCAAGACAGATCAGACATTCCCATAAAATATGGTAATGAACCAATATGATAATGAATTAAAACAATATTTAGCCTGATAACCTACCTCAGGAGATTCAGGCACGTATTCAAGCATTTAATAAAAACTTACTTCTATGTTTAAGGCATCGTTAATCATAAATAAAATGAAGTCGCTGCCTCTAGGGGCTTACACATCTGTCAGGTGAATGTAGAGCTCCAAGGGGAGAGTGGTTGCTGTCACTTCAGATGACAAAGGCTTCATAAGAGGTGATTCCTAAACTGGGCATTGGAAGATATGTAGTCCTTCCCCAAACAGACTGAGTGAGGACTGGTGAAGGGCAATTGAACAGGTTTGAAAAGACAAATTACATAAAAGCTAAGAAGTGTAGTCTGGCTGGAAATAGACTTTGTGGCTGGTGTGGTGGGGAAATACAGTGGTGGCTAGAGAAAAGGTGGAGAGAGAGGTGAGAGACCAGTCATGGAACCCCTGTGTATACCAGGTTGTGTGTTCCACTGGTGATGGAATTGGGAGCCATTTAGGCAACAGAATTCGTTTGAAACTTTGGAAAAATCCTTCTCACACAACTAATAAGCTTGCATTGGATGAACCTGGTTCTGAAGACAGGAGGACCTGCTTAAGTGACCCTTTTAACATCGAGGAAAGTGAAAGGAGAGTGTATAGAATTCAGTTTACATGCATGGATAGATGGATTGCTCTTTTTTTTTTTTTTTTGGTGCTGGGGATTGAACCCAGGGGTGCTTTACCACTGAGCTACATCCTCCTCAGCCCCCACTCTTTTATTTATTTACATTTTTTTGAGATGGTCTCTACGTTGCTGAAGCTGACTTCAAACTTGCAATCCTCCTGCCTCAGACTCCAAAGCCAGGTTATCTTCTTTTCAAAAGAGTCTTATAGGCAAAAAAGACAGGTGAGATGGTGGGGTCAGGGAGTCCAGATAGAGGTGGCAGGTAATTATTGTGAGTTAATTATCCAAAAGGATAAAACATTAGAAGGGGGGTTAAAAAAAAAAAAAAAAAGGCCTGAGAAACCCTAATACAGGAGGAATGGGTAAAGGAAAGGGAAACCAGTAGAAGAAGCTGAAAAGCGGCTGTCCTGGAAGAGGGTGCAGCAGGAAGGAGGGCTGTCATGTGCCAGGGGAGGAGGGGATTTCAGAGAAGGGCAGAGGTCACAGGGTCAGCTGCTTGAAGAAGTGGACTAGATGAGAGCTGCAGAGTCCAGGAGGTAGAAAACTGATTGCAGAGGGCTGAAGAGATAGAATGGGAAGTGATGAAGTAAAAATAGAGCCCAGGAGAGAAAAACACCATTGCTGTTACCACATTATTAAACATAATGGTCTTGAGCATGTAAGAGCTGGGGGGCTATCGTCTACGTCTATATTGACCTGCCAGTGCTTTCGCAAGGATTAGCTAACAAAGTGAATGATTTAGTCTTCATTTTTACCTACAAAAATGGAAAATTTAATTACATTAACATATTCATGATTATTTGGATATTTATAAAAGAAAATGGTTTATTATTTCTTAGTAGTGGATTCTCATATAGATAGCACAGCTCAGAAAGAAGTGGCACAGGATAGTGTCTAATAGTGTTCTGCTCTGGGGCAACCCTGACTGTTTTCAAACACTGGCTTAGCCATGGAGCAATTATGCCATCACGGGCAGCTTATGAACCTGTGGGAGCCTCAGTTTCCTCATATGTGGATTAAGAGTAACTCTTGCATCCGTATTTCATGAAATTAGCCTTTCTAAAGTGCCTGCAACAGCACATGGTAAGTGCTCCCTAATTGTTAGCTATTATTATTCTCATTGATTACCACTTCATGCTGCACTAGTTAATTCAGAAGATGTAGAAATTCTTCCTACCATCTTTTTTTTTTTTTTAAATCTTAGTCACTAATGTTGGGAATTTTTAAGGAGTTCCACACTAAATAGCTTCCCTCTCTCTTGGCTGGATTCCAAACAAGCACAAATGAAAAATGTGCATCAGTAAGAACCTTAATGCCGTGGACATTACTGGGAGAGGCAGGTTGGAGGATTAGTTTAGGGTGAGAGTTGAGCAGGGCTGTTAATGATGCAGAATCCCCAGTAGTCATGGTCAAGGTAGCTTCCCAAGTGGAAGACGTCACAAGGAAGAGTAGGAAAGAACTCTGTCTGCAGGCCTGTTCTCAGGAGGAAAGAACAGACCCAAACACATCTGTTCCTTCTCCCTGTGTTTGCAGAGCAGAATTGTCACTACCTTTACCAGGGAATGAGTGAATGAAAGGGTGGAGAAGAGGCCAGAGTGTGTTTAGTGAGAAAAATCCCTTCCCACAGAGTGGGGGAAAGTTCTCACTAGCAAGTATGTGGAGGCAGCCTTGCCCTGGCCTCCTGCCTCCTTCATCCTTATACCACTGATTACTAGAGAGCTCCCTGTTCAGCTCTGCTCCTCTGCTCTTTCCTCGGGGTCCTTTAAAGCCCAGTGTACTCCATACACTGGGTTCTTCTGTGACCAGATTCTCCTGTTAATGTTTCTGTAGGTTCATCCATCACTTTCCCCTGTAATTAATCGAAAGTTGCCCTTTTCCTTGATTATCTACTTTACTTGGAAACACTCCTTAATAGTGGTTAATTTCCCCCATTTTCCTCACCTAAAAACCAATGGGAATATCCTAAGTACTTAACTGCTATGGACACCAGACCCCAGAATGAGAGCCATAAACCAGGCGTGGAAGGTGCGTTGGTGAGACAGGAGCCCTTCACACAGGAATGAGAGGGAAGTTGGAATCTTGTGGCTGCTAACCAAGCCTTGCAGGCTCTTAGAATGATCACACCCACTTTTCCACCCTTTCATTGTCTTCCTCCTGCTTCCTGCTCATGTACAGGAGGAAGCTGGAGGAAAGGCCCTCTTGTACACGTCTTGTTGCTTCTCACATCCTACTTAGCTTTTTATCCTCCATCTTTTTCTCACCTGTAATTCTGTCAATATCCATACTGATAACATTTTATTTTAATTTCCAGGCTTCTTTTTACTTTATCTTTAAAAGCCTTCATCTGTATTCTGTTCCCATAGAGTGGCCATCGTGAGACTCAGCTTCCATCCCCATGTCATCTTGGCATCCCTGAGATGGTTTCAGGAGACAGGCTGTTCTCCAGAGCACACATTTATTTGACTGTTTCCACTTGGCCATGTGTATCGGCATGTGATTGGTTTTCCCTGTTAGAAAAGAGACCTCTTTTGTATCAAATCAGAATTGTTTACAATAACATCAATAAACACTCTCCTTCACATTAAAATGATAGTCCCTCTCCAGAGAGAGGCATCCTTCTCCGTTAGCTTATTAAATACCAGGACCATTTATCTACTATTATCTACCTTTATAATTTTATCCAGTGTGATTCTATGTGTTGTGCGCATAATGAATTTACCCTATTCCAACTACCTGTAAATTGTTTAAAATTGTGCCTCTTCCAGTATTTTCAACTATGGAATTCTTAGCTTTCTTTTTATTGTTTCCATTCTTCCTGAACCTGCCCGTCATTGTTTGTGTATTTTGTTTTGTTTTTTTGTGGTGCCCAGGATGGAACCCAGGTCCTTTTACATGCTAGGCCAAATGTGGTACCACAGAGCTCTGCCTCCCCCGCCCCACCCCTTTCATCCCTTCACATCTCTTTCTTCTAATCTCTAGTTGCTTGAACTTTTCTCATTTCAAACTGCTTCAACCCCTTTTGCCCAGCTTGGAGTTCACTCTAAGACATTTTAGTAAAGTCAGAATTGAATACCCAATTCTGCCTGCATTTCTATTTTTCAAATCTCTGACACTAGCTAATGCCCAGACCCTTTCTGTTCCCTGCTTTTTGTCTTGGGCTGCCTAACATTGCCTGAGAAATGTTAACATTTTTTTTCTACCATAATTTGACACTTTCTACTTAGTATTTAGATTCTGAATAATTTTTTATCATATTCACTACCTAGCCTATTTGAAAAGATTTCATTCCTCTTTAGCTCCAAACCTTCCTCTCTGCAGGTGGTCTTGCTGCATTCTTTTCTGAGGATAAGGTCATCTGATTGATCCTCACCACCCAGCTCCTTGGAGTGTGTGATACACGTGGGTTCTGTATTTCAAATTATTTTTTGTGTTGAGGTTGATGTTGTCATGGCATTTGCTCTAATTTAATGTACCATTTTTAGGAAAAAAAATACCAATATTTATTGAATATTTATGTGACAGATTCACCGTAAGTGCTTGCCAGGCATTACCTCTTTTGACCATGGTGTGGTCACTGAAACAACGAAATGACATGTGGCTTACTATCTTAAATGACTTTTTCCTTTCTTTGGATGAGTACAACTAAGCTTTTTAAATACCGAAATCTAATGTGCCCAATATTCTTTAGCAATCTAAAAAAAATACATATGATTATATATTTCACTTATATCAGTATAAGTGGAGATACATAAAGATTTGTAACTTCAGCTAGAAGATAGGCTCTTAGGGACTTTGTGATGTTTTATACTCACTGGAAAAAAGTGAATTGGAAATATACTAATAAACTCAGGACAGTGAAGGACATGGTTTAAATTTTATGTTTAATTTATTTAATGTCTGATTATGTTAATTAAATACCCACTTATCAGCTTAATGATACTGAATGTAGATCCTTATTAACTTATGATTTTAAAGGCCAGTGAAGTTGTCAAATCTAATGAAAACAGAATTCAAAGATAAAATTCTATCTTCCCTTTCTTTTATGAGCCTCTTAAAAATGCAGGGCACCTTTTTAAAAGCCCTCAGAAGAGATTAACCTTTAACATCATCATTTACATCTAATGCTATCACATTTTTCAATGTCATTGTCACCACTTTTGGCCTTAGAGAGATGATTTTGTTAACCATATTATAAAACTACTGAATTCCCTTTTCCCAGCTGTACTAGAGGAAGAGTCTACCACTTTCGTCTCTTTTTTCCCTCTGGTGCAGTACTTTACGGTAGAACTTTCTGTGATGAAGAAAATGGTCTGTATCTGCTGTGGTCAGCACAGTAGCCACGAGTCATATGTGACACATTGGGCATTTAAAATGCGGCTAGTGCAGCCAATGAACCGAATTTCGAATTTTATTAACTTGACTTAGCCTAAGTTTAAATAGTCACATGCTGCCAGTAGACACCACATCAGGAGACAGCTTTGTCTTTCTATTCAGCGCAGACTGAATTCCTAGGACTTGACTCTTTTTTCCTGGTAGGTCTTAATTCCCTTCTGGGAACAGGAATAATCCTCTTTTAATGTTGCCTATTTTTCTTGAATTAATTAAGGTATTCTCTTTTATTACTGCCTAATTTATAATACGTGAGGTTTACCACAAACCAAAAAAAAAATGACATCTGTAGTAAAATGTGAGGTTTAATTCTGTGCAGTCCTCACACAATAGTGTGTCTTTGTCTCCTGTTAACATGGATCGTTATATTCTTTGGTCAGCCTACTTTCCAAATGTATCTTTACTTGTCTACAGATGTATCAGGGCCCTTTATCTCTGCCTTCTTGAGTGTTACCTATGATGAGAGTAGAGTGTAAAAGGGCTTGGACTTTGTATTCCAAATTCTCACCACTGCTTCCTAAGGAAGTCCCCACTTCTCTGATCCACAGTTCCTCCTTAAGCTGTTATCAGGTTTCCTACCTTGGAAATATGTTTGTTCACGTGACTCTCTCCTTTCTTGACCCTAGAGCTTTGATAGCATGGCTTTCTGTTTCTGAAACATGCCTGAGAACAGAGTGGGCACTCCAAAAATATATGTACTGAATACATGAAAAACTGTTTCAACAAATGCCCTTCCCCACTCGCTCATCACTCACACCAGTTTTATGTCTGTCCACTGGAGAAGGAATAATAACTTGTTTGAAGATACAGTTTCTTTGAAAAGTGGAAACTGTTGTGATTTAAAACAGATATTAGTTATAATTCCCTTTGTAGATCTATTTCTACTCTATGTAAATAATGAAGTACTATTTTTATGGATCATTATCTTCTAACAAGATTATGCACTGTATTTTTTATAAGTATTCACTTAAATATAGTTTAATGGATATATGTATATAAATATCCATTGTTTTGGGTACATCAAGTACCCAAAGGATAAACTGCAAGCAGGGAAGCTAATAAAAGTCAATTATTTAAAAATGTGAGTTCCCACAGATACGTGTGAGATAAAGCAATGTTTAAAGTAAAGATTCTGAAAACATGATTGATGACCTGTTATCTGTCGTCTCGAGAGGTTTACATTTTAAAATGTTTATAGTAACATTCAGAAAGTACAACACAAATTTAAGGTTTCTTCTTACAAAGCATTCAATCCACTGCCCATGAAAAGGCTTTTATCTTTGAAGATGAAAGAATTAAAATGCAACTGGAACACGGAAGGCTCCTACAGAAGCACACATTTATTTGGGCATATGGTAGTAATCTACCAAACACGAAGGTAGAATCTATTGGAAAATAACAAGAACAGATTTACCAGGTGAAGATTCTACCAGATGAGTTTGCTTTTAACTATGGGAAGGTTAAAGATGTAGAGAAGCACATCCCCCAATATTTTCCTTTTTATTTCAAAGCCACTTTGGCATCTCTTTTAAAAAGTATTGCCTTCATATTTATAGATGGTGCTTCAGGTGCTGAATGCCATGAAGTTTGACGATCAATTCCATTATTTCTGTGTAGTCAGAAGAGTTAATTGCATTGGAAAAGACATTTATGCACTCTTCAGTATATGTGTGAAATTGGATTTCAAAGGAATACAATGTGTGGCTTAGTTATTGATTAATGAGTTAAACTACAGGTGCTGAAGACAAAGGATCAAATGTTGAGTAATAGGTCCAGGTATGTGCATAAGTGATTTTGCACATAGCGACACTCGAGCACTTCTTGATTGACCAAGGACCTCTGATTTCTGGCTGTCTTTTGTATTTAAAAACATAGGAAAGAAATTGCAGTATCTCAGTTCCATAGCAAAGTGGTTTAAAATGGCAGAGAGAATTTTCAATTAATGTAATTGAAATTTTTTAATTGTGCTCTATCTCTCTCTCTCTCTCTCTCTCTCTCTTAGAGAGAGAGAGAGAGAGAGAGAGAGCGAGAGAAAGATAAAATGAGAAAAATATTTGTGCATATATACTATAAATATATTATAGCTAAACTACCAACACTTGGTCTCTAATTTTGCATTATGTCACAAACATCCTTCCTCAAAGCCTCACTTTCTTGTCTTTATGGTGTGAAGGTATATGTCTTAAATTTTGGTTAAGATTAACAACATATTCTTTAGAGATTATAGCTGATTCAAAATAACTATTTCTTACAGGAAATACTTTTTTTCTACAAATGAACATTTGTTGGTCATATAAGATTATTAGGCTAAAGGAAGGTTTATAATTTTGTGAATTATATAATCCAAACTGCTAAATGTGGTCAGTATTCTCTCTCTCTCGACAGGGCCCATTTGGAGGCCAGTGCTGAGAAGTGGAACAGGTTGCTGGTGTCTTTAGAAGAACTGATCAAATGGCTGAATATGAAAGATGAAGAGCTTAAAAAACAGATGCCTCTTGGAGGGGATGTTCCAGCCTTACAGCTCCAATATGACCACTGTAAAGTAAGTTGAACCCTTATGGCAGTAATGTGTGTGTGTGTGTGTGTGTGTGTGTGTGTGTGTGTGTGTGTGAAGTGTAATGAAATAAATACTTCATAAATCTAGAAAAATGTAAAAGTTGAACTGATTTTCACGGGTTTTACCCCCTTCTGCTTCTAATTGTCAGTACTTAGGCATTTTATTTAAACTGCATTCATTGCCTACATTTGTTTCACATTAAGTTGTCTCTTTACATTTAACTAAAAATTTTTCAACAGTACATGTATTGGAATGGGGTGTAGTCTAGCATGTGTGAGGACTGGCTTTGATCCCCAGAACCAACCCCCACCACCACCATACACACACACGGTACAGGTGTCTAAAGCATATTGCTTTTAGCATCTCATGAAATGTATTTAACTTTCTAATGTGTTCTGGAATGGTAATGTATTATGTTGGGAACATTTTAAACTACATGCTAATCTTAAATTCAGCAGTTATGTAATCATAAAGAATTACAAACTAGGTCTGGGAGTGAGCTCCATGGTAGAGAACCTACCTAACTACAGACAAAAAGAGTCACAGACTGTTTCATTGATATGAAATGAAAGTGAAAAAATAAAGACTTGCAGTAAATCAATAGGATAGATCTAAGTTTTGCTGTTGTTGTGGGGGTTCCTGGGACCAAACCAGGGCCACTCCCATGGTAGGAAAGAACTCTACTTCTGAGCCATGATTCCAGCCTATAGAATTAAATTTTGAAACAAGTAAAGACCATAATAGTTAATATTATTTTATGTGCTTTATTTTCTGAATTTAGACTTTTCTTTCAATTACATTTTTATTCTTCTCAGAGGACTATCTCTATTTATACTTTTACTCTGCTTAGAACTGATAGGCTATCTTCAACTGACGCGTGGTTAGATCCTTATCTTTTAAAAACTTCTTCACTATGTCTAGGTTCTATTAATATATTTAATATCCTTTACATTATTTTCTCACATATTTCGTATCACCCTATTTTATTGTATTTTTTATTATTCACATACAGTACAAATTCTCATTCTAAATCTGTACATTTTAATGTGACATTAGATTCTATTCCCAGCTGAAAAATGATAAACGCAAACACTTTCTTCTTTTCAAGGAAGATACCATCTATTTAATAAGTTGCTATACTACAAATGACATGACCTTGAAATTTATTTTATTTTGAATTCTTGTGACTAAGTGATTAAAATTACTATTTGAGTATATTTTCTCCTACTTGAAAAGAGAATATGATAGAGAAATAGCTCTAAGATAAGAAAAAGGAAGATATTGTTGGCATATGATATACAAAATAATAATAGAAGATTTAAAATTACTGATTTAAGAAAATCACATTTTCTCCTTTCTTTTTTTTATCTTTCTCCTCTATTAATTATTCATATTCCCTTTTTGTGGGCTCAGGTATTAGTGATGAAATAGAATAATACAGAACTCTTTGAATAGCAATGCTCTGCATGGAATAAAAGCTGCTTATGATCATGTGCTAGCTTTGATTAAGAACCAAATTTTAAGGTAGGGAATGATTTTCCTCAGATAGCCTTGGCCTTAGCACATAAAGTGCATGTCAGCCTTCCCAGTCAGTTCTAGCTGTTTGTTATCCCCGTCTCCTGGTGAGGCTGCCTGGCTTTGCATTGTATTTCACTCTATTTTATAGCACTTCATGCACTTCCTGTGCTTCAAGCTCTTAGTCTCTCATTTAAGTAGTAAAGATAATAATGATAATGATGTTGGCTCATTTATTCATCAGTTATTTTTTGAGTACCTCATATGCACCATGCACTATTCTAGTCACTGGTGGTCTCGCCTGATTCTGAGTAAGAGAGAAGTACTGGACCAATAGGCAATAAGATGTCATATGTCCTATAGTAATAACTGCTTTGGAAAAAAATAAAAGAATGTTATGGAGAGAAAGGAAGATAGGAGATTATAGCAGAGGTGATTTTTATGTGGAGAAGGTCAGGAAAATGCCACAACTGGAGTGGTCTTTGAACAGAGACAGAGATAAGTGAGGTAGTGATCAGTTCTGCTCTCTGGGGCAGATGAAGCACAAAGGCCATAGAGGCATCACTGTTCAGGGCAAAGGTGAGGAACAGCATGGAGACCAGGTGGTTGAAGCCATTGAGCCGAATGAAGAGGCAAAGTAGGAGATGAGGAGCAGGTGGGAAGAAGGGGTGCAGATCACATAGGTTCTCCCAAGTTCTTTAAAGGACTTTGGCTTTTACTCTGAGATGGGAAGCCATGAAAGGTTTTGTATTGATAGAGATGTGATCTGATTTACATTATGTAAAATTAGATGTTGAAATATGAAGAATAGACTAGAGAGGAGTGCAGTAATCATGCGGGGATGTTGTGACTTGGGTGAGAGTAACTGGTTTCTGAACACATTTGGAAAGAACCAATAGAATTTGTTGGTGGGTGGAATATACGGGATGGGAGAGAAAGAGTCAAAGGTATCAGGAGACAAATGTTTCTGGACAACTGGAAAATGGATTGCCATTTAGATGGGGAGGGGGGAATTGCTGTAGAAACCTGGAGAAAAGTTAAGAATTTGTTTTTTGACATGTTAAGTGTAAGGTGTTAATTAGGAGGTTGTTTATACAAACCTGAAGTTGGGGGAAAAGTCAGGACTAGAGCCAAAATTGTTACCATGTATCAGCCATGGGCTTGGTTGAGGTCACTTAGGGAGTGATTACAGTTAGAAAAATGAATTGTAAGTTAAAGTCCCTGAGGAACCCCAGCTTTAGACATTGAGAAGATGAGGAGACTGAGAAGGAGAGCCAAGAGAGAACAGATTCTAGGCCTCCAAAGGAAGAGGTATGTTATGAAGGAGACTATGGATACAAGGGTCAAGTATTTCTGAGAATTGAATTGGATAAGAACAGAACATTATCCATCCAAGGACAGACTTGTGGATCTCAAATGAGAGTCATTTCAGTGGCATGATGCATTTGGAAGTGTGATTGGAGTGGATTCCAGAGAGAATATGAACAGAAGTACAGAAAACCATTTTAAGAACTTTTACAAGAAAGATACCAAGAACTGGAGCCATAGAGGGAGATCCAATGTGGGTTGGAGTGATGTCTTTACAGGCTGAAGAATGATTTAGCATCTTGCGTGCTCCTGGGGACGATCCTACAGGAGGGGAAAAGCCAGTGATACAGAAGAGAGGGTCTGCTGCAAAACAGTGACAGGATGGGTCCAGTGTACTTGTGGCTCAGCTGGCCTTGTAAGAGGGCAAAGCATTTATCCTTTTAACAGGAGAGTGTGGAATAGAGGGGTGGATAATAATAGGTTGGTGGATTTGGGTGTGGGAACATTTAGATGTTCTCAATGAAATACAAAGCAAGAGCATCCACTAAATATGAGAAGGAAGGAGATGTGGAGGTTAGAGGAGAGAAGAGATAAAAATTCAGTCCAGAAGTAGGTAGATTCATAAACTAGCCATTTCTAGCAAAACTACAAGACAACATTAAGGGCTGGCTTGAGGTCAGTGATGGATTAAAAGTGAGAACAATTAGTGTGAATGGTTTTCTTCACCCATGTTTAGTTGCTCCAGCGAAAGTGGGGAATTCCCCAGAAAGTTGAATATACCCAGGCAGAGGCAATAAGGACAGGGCAAGGGAGATAAAGGAGTATAAAGGAGTTGCAGAAATGATGGAACATGGACTCAACTTTGGGAAAAGGGAGGTATGACATACGAGAGAGGTGAGGGTCAGGAGTAAGGTGATAGAAGTCAATGAGTTGGAGCCACCAGTGGGGCTTGGGTAATTGTTTGAGTTGGGAGACTGGGGGAGGAAACTGTAAGGAGAGCAGGTGGTAGGTAAAGAAGACATCCCAGAAATCAAGTTCATGGAGGGGTGAATTTTCTGCTACTGACATTATTCAGTGTCTTTTTGTGTAAGTGAGTTGTAGGGACAGGGTAGGGAGCAGGGTCCTTGGAGGAGAGCCAGTCAAAAGTTGTGATGCCAGGGTAGTGGGAAGATCATCTACTGGGTAAAGAACCACCATATGACCCAGCCATCTCACTCCTTGGTCTATATCCAAAGGACTTAAAATCAGCATACTATAGTAATGCAGCCACATCAATGTTCATAGCAGCCCAATTCGTAATAGCTAAACTGTGGAAGCAACCTAGATGCCCTTCAATAGATGAATGGATAAAGAAACTGTGTTATATATACACAATGGAATGTTATTCAGCATTAAAAGAGAATAAAATCATGGCATTTGCAGGTAAAGGGATGGAGTTGGAGAATATCATGCCAAGTTAAGTAAGCCAATCCCCCCAAACCAAAGGCCAGATGTTCTCTCTAATAAGTGGATGCTGATCCACAATGGGGAGGGGTGGGGAGCATGGGAAAAATAGTGGAACTTTGGGCAAAGCGGAGGGAGGGTGGGGAGGGTGTATGGGGGCAGGAAAGATGGTGGAATGGAATGCGAAGGAATCATCACCCTAGGTACATGTATAACTACACATAGGTTGTGATGCTACATCGTGTACAGCCAGAGAAATGAAAGTTGTGCTGCAGTTGTGTATAGTGACTCAAAATGCATTCTGCTATCATATACACCTAATTAAAATGAATAAATAAAAATAAAATAAAGCTTCAAGTCAAAAAGAAAGAAAGAAAGAAATTCTGTGAGCAGGAGGAAGAGCCAGATACCAAAAGGATAATCATGAGAAGGAAGAGTCCTGGTAGTATGTTTCAAGAGTCTAACCTAGAAATGGTGTTTTCAGTTTTCATTTGGATTATATTTTATTGAACCGCTTCTATGTGCCAGCACCATTCTGAGCACTAGGAACATATTCTCGTGGTTTTGTTTTTGTCTTTATTTATTTCTGTCCCCTCTTTTTTGCTCACCAATGTCACTTTCCTGGCTTAATTGATGGAAAAAATTTGAAAACATCTTTCTTACACTATATTTTTCTTTAGGGGCTTTCTGAAAATGGCAAAAAAAAGAGCATTAAAATA